TTTCCTCGGCTAGACACAGGGAGGCACCTCGGGCGAGGAGGGTGCGGCTTCCGCACCCGGTCAGCGGGGTCTGCGCCTGGCGGGTCCTCCTCTACCCCTCCGCTCCTTCGGCCGGGAGGCTCGGAGCCCCACCTGGCCTGAGCCCCGCTCTAACTCTGCCAGACCCTGAGCCCACGGGCTGGAGGTGCCTCCCTGTGTCTAGCCGAGGAAAAAAGCTATGCAGGATCTCGGTCCTGCCCTGCCGTCCGTTGGTAAACCCCCCTGGGGAAATCCACTGCCGTAGCTTTTGTTCTGGAACCATGATAACGCAGCTATTATTCGGTCATCGCAGGTATTACAGAGGCACTGAGGTTGTGTAATGGTTGGATCCCACGGCTTGTACTTGATACAGGTATTGCCAGGGAGAGGCCCGTGGTTGGTTTTAAAGCCAGAAGTTAATCTTTGGCCTGTTTGGATAATGAATGCTAAGCTGGAGAACTAAGGTGTTTTTCAAAGTTGAATGTGCTTCAGAGTCCCCGGAGAGCTTGTTAGACTGCTAGGCCCTATCCCTAGAGTGTGGATGGGCCTAAGAATTTGCATTCTTAGCAAAATTCCTGGCTGCCTGTTTTTCAGCGAGAACGGTTGAATATATTAAGCATATGGGGGGAAAAAAACTATATATATATATATATATATATATTATAGTGGAAGTTGGAGAAAGAGACACTCTTAGGAGGACGAAGGAACCTTAGACCTACAAAGGTGTTTGGCACTGGTAGATTTCAGTAAGCAGTGAGTGAGTATAATTGAATGGAGAAGAAGATAAACGAGTAAAATGTTTTAAGTGAACAATAATCTTGAAAGGCGATTTGAAAGTGGTTAGTAGAGCCGAGAACTACTTTGAAAATAACATTTAGAGATAATGAAAGTGTTATTTTAGAAGTATGTTTCATGTATTTCTTCACCTAATCAATCAGTTGAATATTCTTAAGACTAATACGAGCTAAGTGTGGTGGTACACACTTGTAATTCCAGAACTCGGAGTCGGAAGCAGAAAGATCATGAGTTCGAGAGCAGTCTTAAGAGTGCTACAGGAGCCAAGAGGATTTTTTCCTCCCCCTTCTGTCCTATGCCACCTTCGTTGTCAGCTACGATTCCTCATCTGTGAAATAAGAAGGTTGTTTAGACTTCAAAGAATCCAAAATTCTGAAACATCTCAAAACATTTCCCTGAGTAGACATAAATTATAAAAACTTGTAGCAGAGCCCCCTAGTGGTTGTAAGGGAGCTTAACTATTGCAACTAAGCACTACAAAGAATTTTTGCCATGATATAAACCTAAGAATTTTGTAGATATTTGTGCCCACACGACTCAAAATGCTTTTTTTTTTAAAATCACACTCTGCCTAACCTCAAGAAACTTAACAATAATCAAACGGAGAACAAGTTAGAAAGGTCTGATAATTTCTTTGAAAGATAGGAACTTGGTAATGCTGCTTCTTCACCAAAGCTTGACCCCAAGGCCTGTGCATGCTGAGTATGTGCATTGCGAACAGCCTGTAGCCCAGCCAGGTTGTGGTGTGTGTGTATGTTTAGGCAGGCTCTCATTGTACAACCCAGGCCGACCACAAACCGAAACTTTTCTGACTCAGTCTCCCTAAGGCTCAGACACACTCAGACGGACAAACACCACCACACAAGGCTCAGGTTTATGAATTTTTTAGTTCAAGTAATTATTTGACGGCAAATCCCACTTTTGGAATTCATTCTAATAGAATAACACCTTAACAACATTCTAGAGAACCAAAAGGATGTAGCTGGTGATACCTGAATAACTTCATGAGGAGGCTCACAGCATTGTGGATGTCTTAGTTTTAGCAATGCTCCGCAGTAATTTACAATGTTCACATTACCAGAAGGTGAATAAAGAACACACAGAAATCTCTACTATCTTTGCAGCTTATCTGTAAAACAGTCATTCTGAACTGGGCTTGGCGCCTTGCTCCCAGAACCCCAACTACTTGGGAATAGGACCAGAGAGTTGGAGGTCAGCCTAGAGATCAGTGAATGGTATCTCTGGTCTGGGTGGAGACCCGGCCGGTCCAGCTGGGCTAGTTGAATCGGCTAAGGGACCACCTTCCGCCTACTAAAGAGAGAGAGATGGCATGATTAGTTCTTTAATGAGATGGTGTACTTTTCCTTCCCAGAGTCTCCGCCCCTAGTGCAGCTCAGCATCTGAGCTTTGTATGGTTGTCAGTCTGCCCACATTTCTGAATTACTCAGAAAAGTTTACTTTTACTGTTTGCTAAGCATGCTTTTCCTTAATGCTTGGTCTTTCCCCCCCGCGCCCAACATTTTGGGCTTCCTTAACTCTTTTTATAAAGTTTCTCACTGTGTGACTGCTTATTTTTCATGTGTCTGACCTTTATGTCACCTTAAATGGCTTCCTCCCCTCCCCCATCTCCTCCAGCTAACTGCTGAAGTGTAGAGCTCACCTGGCTTGGGTTTTTATTTTCTTTACCTGTTTGTTCTTGAAAAAGGGTCTCACTGAAAAGACCCATCTCATGCCAGGTGGTGGCGATGTATTCCTTTAGTCCCAGTACTCGGGAGGCAAAGGCAGGCAGATTTCTGTGAATTTGAGGCCAGAATGGTCTACAGAGCAAGTTCCAGGACAGGTAGGAGTGTTTCACGGAGACATCCTGTCTCGAAAAGCAAAACGAAAAAAAAAAGAAAAGAAAGAAAGAAAGAAAAGAAAAGATCCACCTCCTGAGTGCAGGGATTAAAGACATGCATTTTTGTTTTAATTATCTTTATTTCCATTTGAGTCCATCCTTAAGTTCTTTTATTAATGAGTCTAAAAACCCAAAGGGTGATCCCAGTAATATCAAGACCTTCACTTAAGAAGGTTTTTTTTTTTTTTGATTATTACAAAAGAATCCGGGCAGAGGTGATGCCTATATTAAAGGTGCTAACTTTTAATTCCAAGCACTCAGGAGGCAGAGACATGTGGATCTCTGAGTTTGAGACCAGCCTAGTCTACAGAGTTCCCTCACAGCCAAGGCTACGCTAAGTTTGAAAAAAATATATATTACTAAAGAAAGAACTTAAGATGTGGGGAAAGGGGGGAGTCATGGCATATGTGTGAAGGTTGTTGAGACAATTTGGGAAGTCAGTTCTTCTACCGTTTGGTTCCAGGGATTGAGCTCAGGTCATCAAGTTGGCAGTGTTAGAAATAATCTCAGGGTTGAAAAAAGAGCCCACCATTCCAACTGCAGTGTCTGCACAAGGCCGACTTTAATCTTGACCGATAAGGTGTGCTCAGAAGGATGGACACACTGAGACAGGAAGTGCATTTGGTGTTTCCTCTAACTCAGGTAGTGACTGTGCCTTTTCCTCATGGGCTGGCTGGCTCCCACCTCCCAGTCTTGACGTAATTGGTATGAAAGGACTTGGTGCGCAGGAAATGAAGGAAAGGGAAAGAGGTCACTGCTCTAGGCCATCAGATTCCTGGGACACAGCAAACCTTGGACCTTTGTGTAAACAAAGGAGAGATTAAAATATTTGCTTAAAGTCTTACAAGGTGGGAGAAGTGATAAAAACACTTGGATTCCTTGTTGTAAACACAAGTTTTAGAGTATGTTAGAAAAAGACCCATTTGATATTTCTACTGCAACAAACAACTCCCTGCTGAACCATCTCACCAGGCCCTAGATCTGTTCCTAGTAAAACTTTCTCTAGGACCACCTTAAAAAAATGTCTATCAGCTCCTCAATAATAGCATGAAATTGTGAATCCATCAATGGACCAATATATTGATTAGGTCAAAGCCCTCATGATCCAACTGCCACTCAATGATTGGATCCACTAATATATTATTGGATAATATAATAATATATTAATATGAATGCAATGCAGTTCATATTAATATATTACCGTTTATATGCCAGGAGAGATTACATTTGCATATGTAGTGTTTGTGAATCTTTCAGTGGTACTGGAGAAATTTGTAAGCAGCTGAACAACAGTAGCCACCCTTGGAAAACAAACTTAAGTACTTGGGGAAAGGAAAGGAGGTTGTTAGGGTCTTCTTTCCCCAGAATGCACGTGACTTCCACCGTGCATGCAGGTACACACATAACACACACATGCAAATAGAAAAGTAAGTGAATGTTCACCATATATCTTGTTGTATTGGTGTATATTTTTGTTTATTTGAGGCAGGGTCTCAATGTGTAGTGAAAACTGATCTCTAACTTGTGATCCTCCTGTATCAGCTGCCCAAATTTTAAACATGTGACTCCATACTAGCCTAAAGATTGTTTTCTTTTTTTCTTTCTTTCTTTCTTTCTTTTTTTTTTTTTCAAGACAGGGTTTCTCTCTGTAGCCCTGGCTGTCTTGGAACTAGCTCTGTAGACCAGGCTGGCCTTGAACTCACAGAATCCACCTACCTCTGCCTCACAAGTGCTGGGATTAAAGGCATGTGCCACCACCGTTGGGCTAAAATTTTTTCGTTAATGTTCTCTGTGATTAAATGGCAAAGTGATATTT